CATTTAGAGAACCCACAACATATAAATAAGAAAAAAATCGCGAACGAGTAATAAAAACTGCGAATGGTCATATCTTTTAATTGCACATGGTGTTGCATTTGTGAAAATGCATAGCAGACGTTTTTTTATTTATTTGTTTTTTAATCGCCCTAATTGCGGCTTTGAAACTTGCGTAGGCACTCCCCGCCGAATACTGCCGGCCACGCAGACTAGTTATCACAGACTCATCATCACAACCTCACATGAAAAATTGCCTATTTATCCCACAAGAAATCCCCAAGGAAGCATAGGCGTCCCAAGTTCACATCTCGAGAAAGACGAAAGGTTATTAATTCTCGGACTGACGTACGTGGAGGCGTCACGCTTTGTGTTACGCGGTGTTAGGCTACGCGAGGAACCGTTAATAATTTGAACCCGTTAATGTATTAAAAGGAATAGCAGGTGAAACGAAACATGGTCGATTTACAGCGTTCAATATTCGGAAATGTGAACATGTTACATTCCGTGTATGTCTGTTGCGGTTTCTGGTCATCTCTGCAGTTTTGGGCTTGCTTTGTCATCACTGTTATTCCTATCATACTCCGTCTTAGCCTCCTCCGCAGGCAAACTTTCTCTCCCTGTCTCACCGAACGCGAAGGGCGAGAGGACTGGACCGAGCGCAAAGCGCGAGGGGGACTTAGGCGAGCGCAAAGCGCGAAGAGCGATTTCCAAGCTTTCATTGCTAAGAGGACGTTAAAGTTGGTGTTTTAACGTTTTGTTTCTTTATAGGAAGCTGGCTGGGAAGTTAACATAGTTTAATAACACACGTGTTTTGCTTTTGAGCTTTTTGCCATGAACGGGGACGCCGGCTAGGCGGTTTACCTGAATGTTGAGACGTTTACATGGCTAAATGTCACCCCGGCTGACATGACTACCCTACTTAGCAGACTGGAAACCCGCCTAGGCGGGTCATCCCATCTATCACGTAAATGTTATCAAGATAAATTAAGAAATTGTATGGACAGGCGGGTTACCTCACCTACCTTGGGGTCCCCTACTTCCATGTAAACGGGCCCTAAATCACAATTACCATGTAAAGCTCTTGCAAAGACAACAACAATGGCAATAAGAATGCGAATAATAATGACAATAATATTAATAATAATAATGATAATAATAATAATAGTAATAATGAAACATTATTAATCACATTGATGATAATGATGATAATGTCATTTCAAACTCTGACCTTTGCACGGGCGTCATTCAGTGATTCATTTTTCTTGGTGAAGTATATTTTAAGACATTATTGAATATAGTATGAAAATGTAATTGGAAAGTTGACCGCGTTTTGAGTTCCAAAATGTGACCTAATCTTTCGAAAACTGTCTTTCAGCAAATCTGCAAAACATTCCTCATTTACTTTCACTCTTAAAAATGTTGAGATTACGATAAACTCATTCTGCAAACGTGCATGCGGGTTGCTTAAAATACAAGTCTTGGCGTTGTGTTAATAACTAAATTTTAAATATCGTTTTTAGGGTGATCCCAAATATCCAAGGCAAGGATCGTGTGATGGGACATACGGCGAAGGAAGAAGATATTTCATATGTGAAGAAGACTCGGGTGTTTTTGTGAATTTGGCTGAACTGGTACCTCTGACAGGAATAAATGTCCCTGTCATTAGCATTGACCAAAGGGTCGTGTATAGCCAAGCCAAAGGAACGCTACGCTACATCGGAGAAGAAAGATACTCAAATAGTAACGTGCGAACTATTGCTGGCTTGGAAATGGTAAGGTGTAAATGAGTTTGCGATTTCTTATAACGTACTGTTCTGCGTAAAAATGTTTCATCGCTCTAGTCACTTCTAAAGCTGTTTCGATCGTGGCGGATTCAAAATAACAAACCTCGCTTTGTACATCAACAAAGACATTTGCAATTGACCTTCCAAGCTGTCGCACATTTCCTTGTCAGTAAGTTAAAAGAATTTGGAGTAATCAAAATAACACCCGCTCCTCATATCGCTCAGTTGTGTTTTTGTCTCAATAGCTTTTTGTTGAATAGCGCGATAGAATCGTGTGGAAAAGTTACTCGTTAACCACGACCATATACTGGTAAAGAATTATTCCTAGTTGAAAAGCTATGCTCTTCTCAAAAGCGGGGAAAGTCAGCAGTTTGTCTTCTTCAATTTCTCATATCCTATAAGCAAGAACATGTTAGTTGAAGTCCTCCTTCTAAGGGCTATTCCTTTCAATGATGACCGATTCACACGCAGTTGAAGCGAATCATGCAGTGCTTTCCTTTGTCTAACACACACGAGAGCTCAGGTTTTAGGTTTATTCCAATTCAGTTAGTTCTATGCTCGTCATGAATAAATGGTAAAAGAACTCTGTCAAATTTCTCCATCAGCTTGTGGTTATGCTTCTTGTCTGAGCACATGGAGCACAAATCACAGCTGCATATAATAAATTTGAACTATGTAATATAGGTTTTGATTGATATGGACCATTAAGTGCGCAATACTAGGTGATTGAAACTGTTATTCTTTTTAGGATGAAAAAATTGGAATGGGCAACGGTAGAAAGAATGGATTTCAACGCTTTGTTTGTCGGAAAGATCATGCAATCTTTGTTACTATAGATAATATTCTACCATTAAACTCCATTGATGAGAAGCCTAGCGAGGCGCTAAAAAATGAACCGTCAGGGAAACAAGGTCCAAAGAAGGAGGTCAACAATGGCGAGCTAAAGTGTCAGATTACGGAACAGCTAAATTCAAGCAACAGACCATGACTGTTGCTCCAGGGGCAGCAATTTACAGTGCACCTGAAGCACAGGCTTCAAATCAAACAGTCAAGGTAATTTTTAATATAATTTTTCTTCATACGTATCCTCTAACTGTTCATGGCCACTTGAATATCGATCTATTAGTCATACATTTTAAAAGGAAAATAGTAATAAGCCTCAGTATTATCTAACGAAGGATTTACTTCTTTAAGGTAGCCACGTATTAACTACAATTCTGGAATTAAATCTTTCTAAGCTACGAGTCAAGATATCGCCGCGAAATGATTAGAAGTATTCACAATCCGTGTACCTTAGTGTTAACCGATTTTCAGTTGCATAGAAAAGTAAAACTTCGATTTTAACCTTGCTTTTCGTTTTTCACTGCGCTTTGAAAACGAAATCGGACTCCATTTTCGGTTTTCATTTCTTTTCCCGTAGGAAAGGAAGCGGCCTTCGAATTCACCCATTTTCACCTCTAACGAAAATCACGGGTACTCACAAATGGAATTAAACCTGGCCACAAGTACAATTTACCTCTGTATTTTTAAGTCGTTGTACGCCTATTAAGATATTCACGTTGCTGTAAGATAAAAAGAATGAGATGATTATTGGAGAAACAGCCTGCGCCTAACTAACCAGAGAATCGAAAGTATTAGGAGGATAAGAGAGGACATTTATTACAAAGAGGGCTAAAATCGAACATTCCTGTATCTGCATTCACGGTTAAAGGAGGTTGTTCAGTAGATCGTTACTTTAATTTCCATCGCTAAAGTACCCTTCGCTCCGTTTACTAACCAATGAAAAGCCTTTAAAAGCTAATAACATAGTAATCTGTCGCGTTGAAAGCAACTAGCAAGCAAAGTGTTGCATCTCAATTTGCTCCTTTTATTTATTTCTTCATTTTCTGCGGTCAGGTTGATGTCTACAGTTTCGGAGTACTTCTTTGTGAGATGTGCATCCGGGACTTACCAGATCCTGAAAGGCGAGAACAACAAGTTGCAATGGTGACAAACAGTGTCCTTCGAGCTCTTATCCGAGGATGTTTGGAAACAAACGCTGAGGCGAGACCAAGTATGGAAGACATAATTGATGAAATTGAACAGGAAGGGCAAGATACAACTCGATAGAGTTTGTATCAACTTCTAACAGAGTGTTATTGCTTTGCTACTTGAGGAATATTTGCCTATTGTAACTTACGCAAGAATCTGAATGAACAAGGAGAGAGAAATAGTTGATATCAGAGGCGGATCTAGACCTTGAGCTAAAAAGGGACGGGGAAGGGGCGTTTTTTTATTTGTGTGTGTTCACCTGCCGGCTTATCTTCCCTCAGCGTTTACTATTC